TGCAGAATGCCTGCTCTTCTTCCAAAAGTTTGGAATTCTGGTACTTTGTAGTAGAGGATGCCTAAATGACCATCTCCAATAAAGACCCTTGTCATTGAGTATCTAGTGAGCTTCCCTGGTAGACAACACTTCAAAATGTCACAACTCATTATAGGAAGAATTGTGTCCTATGTGAACCTAATGGGAGAAGACTTTTGGAAATTTGCACCTGTTTTCCTCTGGATATTGACCCATTTGCCTTTTCTCTTTGCTGATTTTGCTTTGTATCCCTTCACTGTAAATCCCAGTGCCAAATATGACTGTATCCTAAGAGGTGTGAGCCCTCCCAGGGAATCACTGAACCTTGGACTGGTCTTGGAGATCCTCAACACACAACTCAGAAATGGGGATGTAATTATAACATAACAAAAGCTTATTTATACATAGCATAGTAAATCAAACTATCTTTTTTTTTTTTTAATTCTCACATTTGAGTAGTCTTGGCTTCAGGAGTAGAATCCTGTGATTTGTAACTTACATACAATGCGCAGTGCTCATCCTACCAAGTGCCCTCCTTAATGTCCATCACCCATTTTCCCCACACCTCCCAACAACCCTCAGTTTGTTCTTATGGTTTGCCTCCCTCTCTGTTTTTATCTTCTCTTTCTTTCTCTTCCCCTATGATTGTGTTAAGTTTCTGAAATTCCCCATGAGTGAAACCATGTGATATCTGTCTTCCTCTGACTGACTTATTTTGCTTAGCATATACCCTCCAGTTCCATCCATGTTGTTGCAAATGGCAAGATTTCATTCTTTTTCATCACCATAAACCAATTATCTTAAAATTAAATAAAAAACACATCCCAATTCAATTGTTGTTTACAGCATTCAAAGCTCAATGGTATCATTATTTAACAAAAAATATGATATTTACTTACAATAAAAGCCAACATATATTAAGTATTTATTATGAACTAAGCACTGTACTAAGTGCTTTTACATGCATTACTTATTTAATCCTCACAATAGGACTATGAGGTAGAGCCTGTAATCATCTCATTTTACAGATAAGAAAAATAAAGCTTGGGGGCGCCTGGGTGGCTCAGTCGGCTAACTGTCCGACTTCAGCTCAGGTCATGATCTCATGGTTCGTGGGTTTGAGCCCCACATCGGGCTCTGTGCTGACAGCTAGCTCAGAGCCTGGAGCCTGCTTCTGATTCTGTGTCTCCCTCTCTCTCTGACCCTCCCCTGCTCACTCTGCCTCTCTCTCTCTCAGAAAAAAAAAAAAAAAAATTAAAAAAAAAAGGAAAAGAAAAAGAAAGCTTGAAGAAGAAATCTATCATGGTTCCACCAGCATCTGGGTGGAGTCGGTATTCAAAACCAGATCAGTCTGACTCCAAAGTCTACGGTTTTAGATACAATGTTCATTATATTCCTTTCCATGTAAAATAATGAAAAACACAAGATGTAGTCCCAAATGACATAATTCTAAATCACTCATTTTTAGGTATTATTTTTCAAAACTGGCACCACTGTCTGCCTTTTATACTGAGGAGTTAGACCTAATATAAGCATCGAAATGTCATCCCTTTTAGGTAAAATATAATTCAATAAAATACAAGTTTTCTGAAACTATTTCAAAGAAAGCCCAGCACAACTCCTGGTGTCACTCCTGGCATACAGTAGGCATACAACTTACCAAGAGAGTGGATACAATTATCTCATTCTTTCCAATGGATGCATTATGCTATCTTCCTTTCTAAGAGTGCATTAAAATATATTTAAACCATCCCCTCTATTGGAGGTCATTCAGAGTATGTTATTACCAGCGATGCTGCAATGACTATGAATGTACACATCTTTATGCACTCATGTTAGTATCTTGCAGGATGAATTTTCCTTGAAGTCAGATGGCTGGGTGGCAGGATATAAATTTTTAAAATTTTGATTAGATGGTACCAAATTTTTCTTCAAAATGGGTGTTCGAATTTATACTTCCTCTAACAACATAGGAGGCTGCTCTTTTTACTATGCCTTAACTGATATATACTGTTATCTTTTACATTTCTACCAATCTGCTAGATGGAAAATGATATCATCTTGTTTTGATTTGTATTACTTTGATTATTAGATAAGTTAGGCACATTTCATGTTCACTGGCTATTTCTTTATATATTTTCCATTCGTATCCTTCAACAAATTTCCTATTGGCTTATTCTTTTATAGAAGCTTTCAGCTTTTCATACATGGATATGAACCCTTTATTATCTTTATACTAGCTATAAACAATTTCTCACTGTCTGTCATTTATGTTTTTTTAAGTTTGATTATGGTGTCTATCACAGTTTCACAATTTTCATGTAGTCAAGTATAACAATCTCTACCTCTATGACTTCTAACTTGGTGTCAATCTTAGAAAGGTGCTGCCTAATCCTAAGAGCTAAATTATAGTTTCTTAATTTTTTCTGGTATTTTTATGGGTTTTAGTTCTGTCTTCATTTACTTATATCTTTATATATTTAATACACATTTAAGTTACTTGTGAATGGTGTAAGACAGAAATATAACAATATTTTTTATGTTAGATTAGGCTATAGATTCGTGGAAAAGAACAAATGCATACAGAGGTCATAAATTCCTTAGGTAATATGTCATGAATAGACCTAAACAAAGCAATTTGAAATGTTGCTTGGGTATATTTTTGAACTCTGTTTAGTTCATTAATCTGGTTGGTTTTTTTGTTTTTTGGGTTTTTTTTTAATTTCTGGACTCATACAACCCTGTTCATTTTAATACATTTGATGAAAATTCACACTAGAAGGTAAGTTTCATGACAGCAAAGCTCATACCATCCTTGGTGGCTGCCTTCTTATTTCTCTGGTTCACTGCCATACTCCCACAGTGCTTTTGTCCATACCTGGTAGGTACTAAATATATGTTGAAAGAATGAATAAATGCACAAATTTTGGGCACTCCAAAAGTCAATAATATCCTGACTCTTTGCTTTCCTCTTTATTAGGATTATGGAAACCTCAGATTTCTTTTTTTTTTTTTTTAATTTTTTTTAATTCTTTATTTTTGAGAGAGAGACAGAGAGACAGAGAGCGAGCAGGCAAGGAACAGACAGAGAGGGAGACACAAAATCCAAAACAGGCTCCAGGCTCTGATGCCAGCACAGAGCCTGACATGGGGCTGGAACTCACGAACAGCGAGATCAAGACCTGAGCCAAAGTGGGACACTTAACCAACTGACCCACCCAGGCACCCCTTCTAATTGGAAGTCTCTTTCATGTAAGTAGGCTTAAAGCACTATTGTTGCACTCTGGCTAACATAATAAAAGATCACTGAAACATTATCATCATCACAAACGTGTGTAGAGCCCTATGTTAGATGCATAGGTCACAAAGATTTTATACAGGACAGAGTCCCTGTTCATGTGCTGGTTAGGCCAGAAAAGTATACACACGTATATACATATATGTAAAATAAAATAATTATATAAAATACTTTAAGTGCCAAATAGATGACACAGACAATAAGACAGCACATCACAGAGTCAGAGGACTGGGCTTCTCTGAACTAGTTTTCTTATCAGTAAACAAAATTCCTACTTTCTAGAATAATTCAAGATTTAGAAAAGAAAGCAGAAACCAAGGGTGGTTCTAAACTGTTGCTGGATTGTAGAGTTATACATCAATAACGATAACCATTTGGAGAGCTTTAATTATGTGCTATGAATTGTTTTAAATCCTTTCGTGTATTAACTCATTTAAGCCTCTCAGCAACTCTTAAGGAATAAGCACTATTATTCCGCCCCCCAATTTTAATGATGAATATACTTTAGTTTGTATGAAGTCACACTGTAAAGTATGAAGCTGGGGTTCAAATCCAAAAATTCTGGCTCCAGAACCTGAAGCACTTAATTACCACACCTACCAGTCTGAATACGCCTTATCAAAGTAGAATTTACACAAGCAGAAAGGTTTAAGGAGACACATTCATCTATTTGCCTAAAACAATAAATTAACAAATTTGGCTACGGTATAGGTTAAGCAACAGGGTAGAGTTTGATTACACACTTACCTGAAAAGCAACCACCCCTTATGACAACCATCTGTCAACTTTCTCTTGGGTGCTTCTCTTCTAATACAACACTTCTCTCATCTTTACCATTAAACTCATGAACTTTTGACAGGGAAAAAGAAAAGACAATTATTTTTCAATTATTAATGCTATTACCCTGTGGCACGTACTCTGGCCTTGATCCTTTGGGAATTTCGTCTTCCGGGCCGTGCCGTTTACTGCCTCCAAAGCTCACTGTGAAGGAAATAAATAAAAGAAGGCTACCTAATGCAATCTCGTTCCAAGTGATCCTAAACACCGTGATTTCTAACTCCGAATCTTCTCCCTCCGTCCTCCCGGCCCCCTGTCTCGGTCCTAACACCACCGTGAACTTCCTCTGGAACAGAAATCAGGAGTTGATTGCCGAGGTAACGGCGTCGCCTCCAGTCAGGTCCGAGGTCTGAGGCTCTGAGGCCGCAGGCTCCTTCACTCGATTCTAAACCAGCTTCGGCGCTACGAGGCCTTGGGGCAAAACACCAGGCCTTGTGCCCCGCTTCCGCCCCTCCCCGGGCCTCAGTTTCCACTAGAGATCTCCACAGAAAGGGCGCAGATTCTCCCGTTAGGAGCTCCTACGTGCCGGGACACTTGGCCCAGAACCTTAGGGCTCCGGGCACCCGGGACTCTCTCCCTCTCCGGTCACCACCCCAAGCAGGCTACCTCATTCTGTCTCCGCGTTCCTCCGCGGAAGAGCCCAACTCCCTCCACCAACCTCAGCTACGCAGCCTTTCCCGGGTGGCTTGCGTCGCAACGCGGGAAGGGGTCTGGAGGCGGGACCAGGATCCTTGGAGCCAGGGGGCGGGGCGTCCTTCTCCAGGCAGCCAATCAGCACGCGAGAGGCTTCTGGTGGGGCCGCGCGCGTCGGGCGCGGGGCGGGGTCTGGTAGCTGCCCCGGCCACAGCAAGTGCAGCTGCTTCAGGATGAGGTGGCAGATGACTGTGAGCACAGGTGGCTGAGGTAAAGTCAGAGCCAAGGGATAATGATGAATGGAGCTGCGGGACCCTCGCGCATCGATCACCGCGAGCGGGTTCTCAAGTTGGGCGAGAGTTTCGAGAAGCAGCCGCGCTGCGCCTTCCACACTGTACGCTGTGAGTGAGGACGATCCCCGGGAGAGAGGGGAAGCTCTGGGTATGGGGGTATAGAGGCACAAACCTCCCGGGTTGTGATCCCACTGGCCTCCTTAGTCCGCTGTAGAGTGGGGTGGCCGGCGCTAACCGCTGCCCTGCCTGGAGTCCTTGGGGTTTTGTGGAAGGAGCCAGAGTTGAGCAGGTGTCGGCTGTAAACTCTGGACAGAGAGATTCAAGTGAGACCAGCAAACGGTAAGGGAAACATTGTGGAGGAGATCCACAGGGGTGTCTGGAGATAGACGTGACTGGTGGATAATGCAGAGGAGATGGGAAGGTAGTTAGGTGACAGATGGAAGGGTGCAAAGGACCGAACTATTATGCAGAGTGAAGGTAATGCCTTGAGGCTAATAGGGAAACCTTCCCTCCTTTCTTCACTTTTTCTGTCACTGGCTGATGAGAGTTCTTGTTTAGGGTGTTCCTGTGTAGATATTCTGAACCATTCCAGTAATTTGTATTTCATTTGGACCCCTGAGTTCGTTCAGCCATCAAATACTGATTATCTAAGTGTTGGAGGGTGTGTTATTCATTTCTTTTTTAGAAAGGTATTTACTTCCCTATGATTTCTCCTTTTGACTTCCTTTTTGTTCTCTGGAACTAGTTCTGGTAAATTACTTTCTGTAATGTTGAGGTAGAAAACGGTTCTCTTTTGCTTTAATAGTTGGATGGTATAGATTTCAGGAAGGAAAATGTAGCATATTATGATTTTGGTATGTAAAACATTTCATTCTTTGCATAATAGCCCTCAGAATTATAGAGCGGAAAGGAAACTTTGAGATCTTTGACTCATAACCTGTTATTTTTCTGTGGCAAAATTGTAAAGTAGGTATTTTTTCACTTCCTTTCCCCTGCCCTCTTCTTCCTTAGTGTCTCATCATTCCACCTTTCTCAGTCATCCTGTTCTTAGACTGTCCAGAGATCTTCATGGTTTTTACTCTGAAATTTTCCATGCTTCAATTAAAACACTCAATTAAAACTCAACTTTCTTGGGGCACCTGGATGGTTTAGTTGGTTGAGTGTCAGACTTTGGCTCAGGTCATGATCTCTGGGTACATGATTTCAGCCCCACTTCTCAGGGTTGCTGCTGTCAGTACAGAGCCAGCTTTGGATCCTCTGTCCCTCCTTTCTGCTCTTCCCCTGTTTGCACTCCCTCTCTCAAAAATAAACATTAAAAAAAAAAAAAACCCTCAACATTCTCCAAAAGTTTGGTTAAGTTGTAGACAATCTATTTACAGTAACCCAAGGTAAAGATATAAAGATTAATAGGTTTAACTCCCCCCCAAAGATATATTTACATTTTATGAAAGGGGTTTGTTAAACAAAATTAACATCCAGTTTATAGAATAAACAGTAGAGATATTTGTCAACAGATCTTCAACAGCGTCCTTTGTTTTTTCTTCTTTGCCATTCTCTGTCATCCAAGGTTACCCAGAGTGAGACAGCTAATGCTAGCTGTGCAGTTTCTCTCCTTCACTTCCATTTAACAAAGGTGTGATATAGCTGTTAACCTGGTTTCTCCATGCCTTTCTCACATATAGTATCTCCTCTCTCCTCTTCTTTCTCAGGTTTGCAGTAGCCTTTTAGTAATTTTTCAAATCATAAGGTTAAAGATTATAAAAATTTTCTTAAAAATATATTTTTGTATAATTTGGATATATATTCTCTTTTAAGGGCATGAACCCCAAACAAGGAGGATAAAAAATAGCTTTTTCAAAGCTCTTTGCAGGTGCTTCAAAGCTTTACATTTGTAAAAGTTCTCAACATGCTGGAATTGTGCCTTTAGAGTCAGAGAATCAGTTGATCTAGCTATAAGAATGAAAAAAATAGACAAATCAACCATAGGAATAACAATCACAATAAACCCAGATGTTTAGATACACACTTAGTTCTGTGGAAGAGGATTTTCCGCCTTAGTTTTATTCTTGAAGCAGGCAGAATCTTTCTAGATTTATTTGAATAAAACTAGAAAAATAAAAAAATAAATAAAATCGTTATCCTTGAGGACAGTTTCATTTACTGTGTGATCTTCACTCTTAATGACTCAGAGTAAGGGATGGAAACTATAGAACAAGAAATCTTACTTTCATACTGGGCAGGTGGACCTAATTTATAACAAACACTTAAGTCCGTGGAACCTGGGAGAATGTAATATTCTATATTCATGTATGGGGTAATTATGTCTAACATGCTGAGTCTTTGAACAAAACTGGATGTGAATTCTGGCCTTTACCACCAAATAAGTAATGTAACTTTTGGAACATTCTCTAAACTCTCAGCCTTAGTTTTCTAATATGTAAATGGTAATAATAATATCTACATTTCAGGAATTTTTAAGGATTAAATAAGATTGCATAAACAACCTTGCACAGTCTTTGATGCATAGAGAATAAATAGTAGTTACCATTATTCTTGAAGGCTTATATTCATGTGTGTATGAGGAGTGCAATTTACTTAGACTTTCAAAAAGCATTTATCAAGGCTTGGCAATAAAACCTATCAAAAAGATAGTCTGGCATGTGGTAGGGAAGACATGTGATGTTCTGTAAGTGATAAGCTAAATGTTTAGTGGCAGATACTTAACTGGGTGGAAGAGTTTGAGTACAGAACCCACCAGAATAAATTTTGAATTTGGGCTAGTGGTAATTTTACAATTTCTATCTAGATAAGATAATAAACATTGAAATTCCTAAGTTTGTAAATGACACCACTTTTTGCTGACACTAATTGATAACACTGTAGTCAGCGACTACAGGAAGACTGAGGCTTCATATAGAGCCACTCCCACAAAAATGGTTGTTAAGCTTTGGTGTGAGCAAACATTAGAAAGTACACTAATGAAAAATTGAATTAAAATTATATTTACAATTAATGTTCTCTGATCAATGTGGTATATTGGAAAGGATACGGATTTTGGAGTTACTTGAATTAGTTCAAATATCAGGAAGTAAACTTATGATAGTAACTGTGATTCTTTTATGAAGATACTGACATTATGTGAACTATAGCCAAAATAGAAAAGTGATCAATACTGATTGAAAAAGTATTAAATACAAAGTAGGAAGTGTTTTTCTCCTCTGTGTGTAATATAAATAATTGTACTGTAAACCTGAAGAAAATAATATAGGTGAAGGAATCCACAGTGAATAAACAAGTAGTAAAATTGGTAGTAAGGTTTCCAAACCAAAGAGAACTGAAAGAAGTAAACTGTGTAGTCTGGAGTCATAGCAACCTAGAAAATACATTTGACATTTGGAAGCATATGAAAAACATGAGATTATTCAACAAATTCTATAATTCTAGAACTATACTTAATCATTTGAAACACAAAAGTATTTTTTTTGCCATTTTTAAAGATGTTTTATTATGAAATAATTTTAGATTTAAGAAAATTCCCAAAAATCATACAAGGAGTTCCCCTAAATCAAAAGTTGTATTCTTAAAAAAACTTATTGTTTGAAAGTAAATAAAGAGCAATATTAATTATTATAACAAGTAATAAAACCTAGACTCTATTAATTCTAACAGTAAAATAATTAGAAATGTAAATAGGTTCAGAATAGTTTTGATAGATTTATGGATTGTGAATTCATGCTTATCATTAAATAAAGCCATAGATATTTTGAGTACGTGTCTATCTCTTATAGTTGTCTCATATTACAGACATCTATGGAAAGGTTTCAGGGACTGTGAATCTCTTGAAATTTATACAGTATTTGATATGTATTTTCATATATGCATTTTTTTCTGTAGAGAGGATCTATATAGCTGGTCTATAATTTTCATCAGATTCCCATAGGGACTTATGACTCTTCCTGATCTCCTAACAACCCCTGCCCCCTTGCCAACACACACAAAAGTTAACAACTATGGATATAAGGCAAAGAGGCTATATGAGTGGATAGAGTTTGTGGCTTGAGTTCCTGATTTGATTTTTAACTGGCTTTATTACTTCAGTAGAATTCCCCATTGGTAATATGTGGGGGAGAATATTCAATTCAAAGAGTTGTTGTAAAGATCTAAAGTGATGATATGTTATAAAGAAAAAGAATCAGTTTTTGTTTTATTTTATCTTTTTTTAAATGTTTTATTTATTTCTGAGAGACATAGAGACAGTGTGGGCGGGGGAGGGTCAGAGAGAGAGGGAGATCTTCTGTTTCAGAATCTGAAACAGGCTCCAGGCTCTGAGCTAGCTGTCAGCACAGAGCCCAATGAAAGGCTCGAACCCACGACCGTGAGATCATGACCTGAGCTGAAGTCAGATGCTCAACCGACTGAGCCACCCAGGTGCCCCAAGAATCAGTTTTTAAACACTAAAACAAAAGTTACAGATTAACAGTCTGTTGGCTGAGTTTGAGTTTAGAGATGCTTTGTTTGACCCACACAGTTGTTGTTTTAACATAAACTACTTGTAAATATGTAAAAATTAAGATCTTTTATACAGAAATCTGGATTTCCAGCTTCTCTTTAAAAAATCAGAAGATAACCTGGCCTCACCAAGCCCATGTCTCTCTTGGCAGGAGTTGATTGGATCCAAGTTGTGGTTGTCTTCTTAAGGTTGGGCTTATTCATTCTCTAGGTCACAGTGGTTCCCTACTGGTCTGCCTTGAATTACCTTTCTGGCCTCTCCTCTAAAGCGTTATTTAACTGTAGTTAAATGACAGTCAGATCTCCCAATATTGTCCTCTATGTCACTGTCCAGAAAAATATGGGCGATCAGAAAACCCTGGCTTTACTCTAGGATGTATTTCTGTTTTACGTGTTTATCGTAGAGAATTCTTTATTGTCGAATATTAAGCAATGAGTGTCCTCTATGAGAACAGAAATGTGCTAGTGAAAAGTACAAAATGAATATGGCAGTATCTACCTTAAAGAAATGAGAGTCTTGAAGTACAGATGAATCTGATCCTCAAGAAACAATTAGAAAACATTTTCACATAATTTAGCTGAAATAAGTTTATACTTAAAATAAATTTGGAGTTGGTTCAGAGAAGGATAAACATATAACCAGAGTCAGTTACAAAGATCTCATATGTGCCCATTATATTAAAAGGCATTATGCTAGGAGCCATAATTCAGGCGGAATTAAAGTATGAAGCATTATGTTTTAAAAAATTACAGTCCAATAGAGCATATACAGAAAGAGGTAAATAATACCAGGAAATTTATGTTAGGTTTTGATGAGTGGTATGATAAATGCTATAGAAGTAGACCAAAAAAATTGAGATCTTGGAGAATGGAGAAAGGGCCCCACACAGAGACTACTTTAGGGAAGAGGGGACTTTGAACTAGGATTCACATTCTAAGAGCAAAAACACCTAGAAAAACATATGGGCAAGCTGTAGCTTTTTGTTGATTGAAAACTAGTTTGACTTCAGCAAGAATAGGAGATGGAATAAGAGATGGCTCTGAAAGACATTATGGAAAAAGACGTAATGATTAAATGTGAGTGATGAAGAAGATTGAGGACTGTTTATGTGAATACTTATACTGATGAGCAGAACCTTAAAGGATAGTTAAAATTAGGAAGTTGAGGACATTTAAAAGCCAACAAAGTCTGTTACTATGGGTATCCCCATAGGCAATGATGATAAATTACTTATACTAAAATATTTTAAGTGGCAGTTACTTCATTTGTTCTATATATATCCTTATAAAGTGAAGTTCTCATTTAGGGTTACAAATGATATTTACTAGCTCAAATTGAACTTGTGTTCTTTCTCCATTAATGTTGATATCAATAAGACTGATATTCAAAGGTTGTTGGTCAACTTACCTTTTTTGTCTAGCTGAATTTGATAGCTCCTTTGTTACACTAGCTTTAGTTAATTGCATGATCTTGGACAAGGGACTTAATTTCTTCTCCCCTCATTTGCTATATATGTAATATAGGAGTACTCACTACTTTACAGAATTTTTGTAAGGTTTCAAGATAAAAGTACTTAGGAAAAAATTTAAAGTAAAGTAATTAGCACATAAGTTATCGCTGTTATTATTTTTGTTTTGTATCTTTGTTTATTTTCTTGGATTTTTCTGTCTTCTGCTTTCTCCTTTTTCCTTATTTCTGTGATAATCAAGGTTCAGTTCTGATTTTTTTCCTTTAGTATTGTCTTTACAGCAATTGATATTAATTAATACTTATTTCCCTAGAACTTCTTTCAAGCATCTAAAACTTAACACCTTAATTATATTTTATTTTTCTCATTACCTTACTGCTACTAATAAGCTGCCCAATTTATTTTCAGTCTAATCTTTATCCTCAATGGTACTACTATTGTAAATCAAATTCTTTCACCTTTTTCATATTGCCTATGTATTTTTAATCTGTTTCTTAAAGTCTAGAAATAAGCATCAATATTTAAGAGTTGGTTATTTCATATATTCAGTTTTGAATTAAAGCAGCATGAAGAAATAAATCATAAAGAATACTAAAGGTGAATTGTTTATACTCCTGTGTGCTTAAGGAACACATGGAATGTGAATGGATTTCATTTCTTTTAATAGAATTGTTAAAGAATTAAATATGAAGTGCTAAGCAAGCTGACTGGCAGGAGGTAAATATTCCTTATAAATGTTAGCCATTATAATTGTCATTGAGAAACATGGCCAAGCTTTTGTTTGTAGACAGCAGATGATTTGATAAGCACTGGAAGATTCTCCTTTCCCAAGACCTGCCTGTTATAGTTCTCTAAATTCAAATAAATGTTCAGTATTTTGGATTTAGACTTTTTGGGGTTCCCTGTTAATATACAGATCAATCTCTTGGGGTAGGGATAATTGGGAGAGGCCTCTCAGAGGCTAATGTTCTATTTCTTGATCTGGTTGCTGACTACATCCATGCCACTTTGTGAAAATTCATCAAGATTATGATTCATATTCTAGTTTGCATGTTTGCTATATTTTAATAAAGAGTTAACCTGGAAAAAATGTATATAACTGGAGGAATTCTGTATCAGAATTATTGGTCATTAATATGTATTGATGTGAATTATTTTTAAATGGTTTTCATATCTTAGAGGTTTTTAAACTTGTTTAGCATGTGAAATATCTGAACACCCTAAATTTCCTCTGGGTAATATATTTTTAATAACATCATTTGAATCATGATTTAACTCAAAATGAAAATCTATTTTAAGTTTTCTGAAGTTGCAGACTTGATTAAATTTATGTATCCTTTAGTGGTACACATATCCATGAAAAACTCAAACTTTTAAACTCAGTGGTTGGTTTTCCTAAGTTTTCCCCAAGTTTTTCCATGAATATGCATTTGCCATGCATTCATTAATTTTGTATTCTGCTAGGACAGCAGGCAAGTGATAGTAGGCACTCGAGGTGGTTTAAGAAAAATTATGGGAGAAAAAGACTGAAAATTGAAAGCAATCTACTAATATCAATTTTTAGCAAATTGTGAAAACATGACGTAGTTTTTAGCAGTGAAACGTCTGTTTTTAATTTTTTTTCTTAAATAGTTTATTGTCAAGTTTGTTTCCATATAACACCCAGTGCCCATCCCAACAAGTGCCCTCCTCCATGCCCATCACCCCCTCTTCCCATCTCCCCCACACCAATCAGCCCACAGTTTGTTCTCAGGATTCAAGAGTCTCTCATGGTTTGCTTCCCTCTCTCTTCTCAACTATTTTTCCCCTTCTCCTCCCCCATGGTCCTCCGTTAAGTTCCTCCTAATCCACCTATATGTGCAAATTTATGGTATCTGTCCTTCACTGCCTGACTTATTTCACTCAGCATAACACCCTCAAGTTCCATCCATGTTGCTACAAATTTCATTCTTTCTCATTTAGCAATGAAACATCTTAGTCTAGGTTCCACTCTAAACAGGGTCCAGAAGGAGCATTGTTTGAGGAATACTGTTGTAGAGTTTAGCTGTTTCTTTTTTTCTCAGAATTATATATACAGAAATAAACAGGTTTGGATTTTATTTGTAATATGAAGACTTTTCGTCTTTTTTTTTTTTTTTACTAGCTGTCAAAAATGATTTATCACTTTGAAACATCACACTTTTTAAAATGTTTATTTCTGAGAGAGAGAGAGAGAGAGAGAGAGAGAGAGTATGAGGCACAGAGAGAGAGAGAGAGAGAATCCGAAGCAGGTTCTGCGTTGTCAGCACAGAGCCAGATGCAGGGCTTGAACTCACAAACCATGAGATCACGACCTGAGCAAAAGTCAGATGCTTAATTGATGGAGCCACACAAACACCCCTTTGATATCCAGGTAGCCAGATATTATTCCATCTAATAAAAATCCATATCTGTTTCTATTTTTAGATGACTTCAAACCTGCTTCTATTGACACTTCTTGTGAAGGAGAGCTTGAAGTCGGCAAAGGTGAACAGGTGACAATAACTCTGCCAAATATAGAAGTGAGTATTTCTATATATTTAGACTTAAAGGATCCTTTCACAGTATTTCTACTAAATTTAAATGAAAATAATTGCACAATTCATGTAATGATAGTTAAAGTAATTAACAAATACACCAAAGCAAAAAATTTATATATATATATATTTATATATATATATAGATATATATATCATTTTTTTTTAACATGGTAACTCCTGTGCTAGGTAGCTATTGAGAATACAGCGGAAGACCAGACATGGTCAATGGCCTGAAAAATATTACCATTTAATGAAGAAGACAGGAAATTACTGATTATTCTGTATTGAAAGAATATTACAGAAGTACAAAAGAGCTATAATTCAGTCAGCGGAGAGAGAGGAGATGCCAGGCAGGGTATGCTGTCTTGAAGGGGAGTTGAAGTTACCCAGGTAAAGGAAAGAGGGAAGAACATTTCAGGCAGAGAAAAGAAAAAGACATGGGCTAAGACTAGGCAACAAAAGAGTCTGTTACATTTGAAGAACTACAGATAGCCACTATGGATGGCTAGGTCAGAAGGAGTCTACTAGGGACACAGTGGGAGATGGACAGGTATTTAGAAATCAGATAATAAAGGCCTTAATGTGTAAGGCAAAAGAATTTAAACTTTATCCTGTAACTCATTTTAGACAGCTGAAATGAAAGAGAATAGTTAAAAATACCACCTGTCAAGAGCAAATATATTTCTCCACTGGCCATATAGTCCTTGGATAATTATGAATAGGAATAGAAATTACATTCTCAAATTCACTTTGTGGGTTTTCCTCCATTAATTAAAGAACTTCTTTAAACAAATTGGAGGTTTACATTTCTTTAGAGTTGTTAATTTTGTAAAAATGTAATGATTTTAGTTTGAGGCATTTAGATTCTCTATTTTCTTTATGAACTTGGCTTCCATCATCCTGGTAAAAATGAATAGAAGCTAGGAGTCATCCTATAAAATAGAACTTTTATTAGACTATACTTTTAAGAGTACCTTCAGTTTCTGGCAGTTCTTTAATAGAGTAGATTTTTTTATGTGGTATAGTTAACATTTATTAAGTGTTATATGTAAAAGATACTATTCTATGTTCTTTATAAGAATTACCTCACTGGGACATCTGGGTGGCTCAGTTGGTTAAGCATCTGACTTCAGCGCAGGTCATGATCTCATGGTTCATGAGTTTGAACCCCATGTCGGGCTCTGTGCTGACAGTGTGGAGCCTGCTTGGGATTCTCGCTGGCTAGCTCACTCGCGCTTTCTCCTTCTGCCCCTGCCTCTCTCATGCTTTCTCTCTCTCTCTCAATATAAAAAATTAAACTTAAAAAAAAAAAAAAGAATTAGCTCACTTAAGCCCCACAGCTACCTATGCTTTAGGAACTCTTCTTAATGACATTTTGCTAATAAGGAAACTGAGGCATGTGGTGGTTTTGTAATTGTCCCAAAGATCGGTAGCTTATAAACCACATAGTTGGGGGGCACCTGGGTGGCTCAATCGATTGGGCGTCCGACTTCAGCTCAGGTCATGATCTCACAGTTTGTGGGTTCGAGCCCCGCATCGGGCTCTGTGCTGACAGCTAGCTCAGAGCCTGAAGCCTGTTTCAGATTCTGTGTCTCCCTCTCTCTCTGATCTTCCCCTGCTTGTGCTCTCTCTCTCTCAGAAATAAAATAAATAAACAAACAAACAAACCACATAGTTGGGTTTCAAATCCAAGTCTTCTTGACATTGATAAATCCTTGACCTTTGTAAAATAGTTTTAACAAAATTCTTTTTTTTGTTGTTGTTCATTTAAATTCATGTTAGTTAATGTATAGGGTAGCATTGATTTGGGGAGTAGAATTTAGTGATTCATCACTTACATATAACACCCAGTACTCATCCCAGTAAGTGCCCTCTTTAATGCCCATCAGATAGGATAGATTTTTCTAATTTTATTCCTCTAGGTTTTCTTTGGTAATACCAAGTAGAAGAAACTAATGAAAATGCCTGGGTGGCTCAGTCAGTTAAGTGTCCTACTCTTGATATTGGCTCAGGTTGTGATTCACAGTCGTGAGATGGAGCCCAGCATTGGGCTCTGTGCTGAGCATGGAGAGCATAGAGTCTTCTTGGGATTCTCTCTCCCTCGCTCTCTCTGCCCCTCCCTCATTAGTGCATGCTGGGTGCATGTGCTCGCTCGCTGTCTCTCTCTCTCTCTCTCTCTCTCTCACACACACACACAAAATAAATAAATAAACATTAAAAAAAGGAAACTAACAAAAATGGAGTCTGTTAAGCTGGTTAATGGTGGGAATTTACAAATCTCTCTTCTTTATGAATAATTTTCTACAGTTGACTACTATAAAATTTCAAAATGTTGAATTTGGAAGGGAAAAGACTTACTTAATTGTTATGATTTCTCATTGGTGCTGTCCAAGTTTGGCATTCTTTAGTGGTGACTGTATTTTGTGGAGTGCTTTTGTGGGCCTCATTGAAATAGTCCACTGTAAACTTTCAACTACACTTCCTATTATGTAGGAAATGCACCTCTAGGGGTTGCATATGACTTCGGCCCCCAAACACTGGACCTGTGAAAGTTCCGTATGTCATATGGACTGCTATGCCACTCTAAACCACCCTCTTGGACAACATCCCTTCCAGGATGAACCTGAAAGGTTTGATTTCATCCACTGAGTTTATTTAGCTCTAATGAGAGAATAGCTTACCACATTCTTGGGACCTCAGCCTATTTTAGGACTGGGCTTCTTTTAACATCCTATTGCAGTTATATATTTTTTTAATATTTTTATTTATTTCTAGGAGAGAGAGAGAGAGACAGTGTGAGCAGGGGAGGGTCAGAGAGAGAGGGAGATGCAGACTCTGAAATAGGCTCCAGGCTCTGAGCTGGCAGTCAGCACAGAGCCCAACTTGGGGCTCGAACCCACAAACCGCGAGATCATGACCTAAGCGAAAGTTGGACGCTTAACCGACTAAGCCACCCAGACACCCCTGCAGTTATATTTTTAAATGAATTGTATCTTTTATCATTATGTAATAATATTTTTAATCCTGTTTTTGTGACTTTAAGCTTAAATACTACTTTGTCTAATATTAATATCGCCACCTTTGCTTTCTTTTTGTTTGCATGTTCATGGAATCTCTTTTTTTGTTTAGCTGACATTTTGTTTAAAATATATCTTTTGATAACAGAATAATTTTTAAACCCAGTTCAACACTTTCTGTTTTTATTAGGAGAAATCTCTCCACATTTAGTTTAAAGTTGATATACTTGGTTTTTATATCTATCATCTTATAGTATGTTTATTAGTTATTTTGTTTTCTCTTTTGCTTTTTATTAGTTTCATTAAGAATCTCTTCTTTTGGGGCGCCTGGGTGGCTTAGTCAGTTGAGCGTCCGACTTTCTCTTAGGTCATGATCTCGCGGTTCGTGGGTTCGAGCCCCACGTCGGGCTCTGTGCTGACTGCCAGCTCAGAGCCTGAAGCCTGTTTCAGAGTCTGTAACTCCCTCTCTCTCTGACCCTCCCATGCTCACGCTGTCTCTCTCTCTCTCTCTCCCAGAAATAAATAAAAATAAATAAAAATTAAAAAAATTAAAAAAAAAAAGAATCTCTTCTTTTTCCCCTTGTATTTCTTTGGGAGTTCTATTGTACTTTTTCATTCCATTACTGATTAATTTCCTTTCCTGGTATTTATAATCAGGCATGAGCAGATTTGTCTGTCAGCAGATAGGGACAAAACTGGAAGGTGAGTAGGGAGGTAAATAATAGTAAGCTAGGTGAGGTGATGATGGGGTTCTGAGGTTGGGTAATTTATAAGTAGTAAACATGGAGATGACTAGATGTATTCAATAGTTAATTTTTTTTGAGGATTGAATGAGGTTAATATTGTGCATACAAAACAGTTTGAACAGTGTCTAGCACACTGTAGATGTTCATACATGTTTACACAAGACAATCTTTTAAAAATCTAGTTCCATTCTTCTGCTTACAGGCTTTAAATGCTTTTCATGGCTCTCAAAATAAATCTCAAACACACCCCACCCCTCATGGCCAGCAAGACCCTGTGGGGATCTACAGTCATCCATCTGCCAAACTCATCTCCCTCTCCCACACCCTCTCCCTGTCATTTCCTCTTTCTGAACTCAGATCCTTTGCACTTGCTGCTCCCTTTTCCAGGAGCTCTCTTCCCCCAGTTTTCACAGTGACTGAGTCCTCATCTTTCAGGCTGCCTGTGACTTAAATTTCATTTGCTCATAAAATTTATTTAGAGGCAAAGATAGTTCATATTCTTAGGAGTTTCCTGGTATTTTATTACATTAATACTCTTCTAAGGGTATGGAATAAGGGACTGGGCAGGAATTAAAGTTTATAATAGGAATAGTGGGGCGCCTGGGTGGCTCAGTCAGTTAAACATCCAACTCTTGATTTGGACTCAAGTCATGATCTCATGGTTCATGAGTTCAAGACCCACATGGGGTCCATGCTGACAGTGCAGAGCCTGCTTGGGATTCTCTTTCTTCCTCTCTCTCTGCCTCTCCCCCACTTGCTCTGTCTCTCTCAAAGTAAATAAATAAACCTAAAAATGTAAAATAGGAATGGTGTTCAATTTAATATGGAAAAAGGCTTTACTTTTATTTTTTTAACATTTTATTTATTTTGAGAGAGAGACAGAGTACATGAGCAGGGGAGGGGGCAGAGAGAGCAAGAGAGAGAAGCTCAACACAGGACATGAACCCATGAACCATGAGATCATGATCTGAGCTGATGTCAAGAGCTGGACACTTAACCAACTGAACCACCCAGACACCCCAGGAAAAAAGCTTTACTTTTTATTTTATTTTATTTTTAATGTTTTAAATTAAAATTTAATTTCTCTGAGAGAGAGAGAGAGGCAGCGTGAGCAGGGGAAGGTCAGAGAGAGAAGGAGACACAGAATCTGAAGCAGGCTCCAGGCTCTGAGCCAGCCATCAGCACAGAGCCCGACATGGGGCCTGAACTCACGAACCGTGAGACCATGACCTGAGCCGAAGTCGGACGCCCAACCAGCTGAGCCACCCAGGCATCCCAAAAGCTTTACTTTTTAAAAACTTGTTCAAAATGTGGGTAGCAGGTATAGAGATTATGACAGCTTTATTTAACTTTGGATCGAAGTATTCATATTCATATTCAACATCCATTTAGTATCTCTGAAGGGTTTGGTACTTTAGGTGCTAGGAGAAATAAAAAAAATATGATCCAGTCCTTATTCTTCAGGAATTCAAAGTATAGTAATGTATTATACTTTTAAGATATATTCTATTCTAAGTAGGAATACAAATATCTTTAAGAAGAATATTGTATAAATCTCTTATCAACTGTAATTTGGAGTCCTTTGGTTTCTATTTGGGGGTATCTTATTCATTTATTTCTTAAATTTCCTGTAAACTGATAGATCTATCTAAAGGCATTATGTGAGTTATACTCTGTGTGTGTGTATGTGTGTATGTAAGTGGTTTTTCTTTAGGCAAGAATACTTTATAGGTGATACTGTTTACTTTCTTTTATATCACATCATGAAGGATATTATGCCTGGTTGTCCCACTTTTAATGATGCTAAAATTAATTGGTGGGTTTAGTGTAATAGATCTGCATAGGGACACACCACTTTAATAAAATACTGGATTTTAAAAACTAAACTTATGAAGGAAGAAGATGGTTAGGAAGTATGATTCAAGGCTTCTGTTCCCTTATCTGTAAAATATATTGGGTGTTTTAGAATTGAACCCCAATTGTCTGTTGTAGACCAATGAAACAAATCTTTAATGACACAGGACAAGTACTTCCTCTGTCTCCTTTTTTCTTTTTTAAAAAAAATTTTTTAATGTTTTATTTATTTCTGAGAGAGAGAGAGAGAGAGAGAGAGACAGTGTGAGCAGGGGAGGGTCAGAAAGAGAGGGAGATACAGAATCTGAAGCAGGCTCCAGGCTCTGAGTTAGCTGTCAGCACAGAGCCCGACATGGGGCGTGAACCCATGAACCATGAGATCATCACCTGAGCCGAAGTTGGATACTTAACTGACTGAGCCACTTAGGCACCCCTCCCTTTTTTCAATGATAGCAAGTCTGAGACCTCAGCTTTGCTTCATCTCTGTCTTTTTTACTACAAATCCTTATCAGAGTAGTAAACTTAGGTACTTTGAGTTATAACATAGATTGAGAAACACAGAGATCTCAAAGGCCCTCCCAACTGATTTTCTATGACATATTTAAGTAATAATATTTAACTTTTTAAACAGGGTTCAACTCCACCAGTAACTGTTTTCAAAGGTTCAAAGAAACCTTACTTAAAGGAATGCATTTTAATTATTAACCATGATACTGGAGAATGTCGACTAGAAAAACTCAGCAGCAACATCACTGTAAAAAAAACAAGGTATGTTGGGGATGCCTGGGTGGCTCAGTCAGTTAAGCGTCTAAGTTCAGCTCAGGTCATGATGCCACAGCTCATGGGTTCAAGCCCTGCACTGGGCTCTGAACTTACAGCCAGAGCTTTGGATTCCTGCTTTGGATTCTGTGTCTTCCTCTTTCTCTGCCCCTTCCCTCCTTGCACTCTGTCTCTCTCTCTCTCTCTCTCTCAAGTATAAATAAACATTTAATGAGAAAACAAAGTATGTGGTTGATGAAATGAATTACTTTATCAACAAAATAATTGCTTAGGAAATGTCAGTGAAAAAATTATTGGATTAGATCACATTATTTTATAAAGTTTATTTCTTTGTGGTACGAAAAGTTTTAAAGTTTAAATTTTTTCCAAGCTTAAATTTGGTGGAGATCCTTAGCCAAAAGCTTTTACCACTTCTTTCTATGATACATAAAAACTTTTTTTGTTTCTGAATGTTTTCTATATGTGTGGGTATACCTTTTATTCTATTGTAGGTTCTTTCATAAAGCTGAACTGAACAAAGCCATTATACATTCTCCAAAATAATTTCATCATCATTAGTAAAAATTTATTGAGCACCTAAAATATGTAAAGTACTAGAAAAAGAAAAGTTTGTTATACAAATACTAACCTCAAAATGTCTGCATTTTAATTGGATTAACAGGTCATTCCATTTAAAAAGTCAGTAAGAATATAGCTATCTCAAATTCTTGTTTGCAAATAGGTGGTGCATTGTCATGTAATATAAGAGACCTACACTAAAAGCCATACAAAGAGTATAGGCAAAAATTGTTCTAGCACGTAAAGGAAGGAAGCAGTTCTCAATGATCAAAACATTTTGGGAGTCTTTATTGATGTATTGAGAGGTTAAGAATTTGAAGGAATACATGCACCCCAATGTTCGTAGCAGCATTATCAACAATAGCCAGATTATGGAAAGAGCTCAAATGTCCATTGACTGATGAATGGATAAAGATGTGGTATGTATGTATATGTGTACATATGTACACACACGCACACACACACACACACACACACACACACACTGGAATATTACTCAGCCATCAAAAAGAATGAAATCTTGCCATTTGCAACAATGTGGTTGGAGTTAGAGAAAATCAGGCTAAGCAAAATCAGTCAGTCAGAGAAAGACAAATACCATATGATTTCACTCATGTGGAATTTAAGAAACAAACAATCATAGCCCAAAAAAAGAGAGAGGCAAAGCAAGAAACAGACTCTTAACCATAGAGAACAAACTGATGGTTACTGGATGGAGGTTGGTGGGGAATGAGTTTAAATAGGTGATGAGGATTAAGGAGAGCACATGTGATGAGTATGAGTTAGCTGTTGCATTGAAGTGTTGAATCGCTAAATTGTACACTTGAAACTAATGTTACACTGTATGTTAACTAGCTGGAATTTAAATTAAAACTTTAAAAAAGGAAAAAAAAAAGACTTAGGGCCTTTCCTTCCTTTCTTTTTATCAAGTCTTTCTTGATAAGACTTACCATGGGTACTTGTTAAATGTGAGTTCCCAAATGCAACTTCAGATCAGAGAAGGACCCTGGGAAGCTCTTTTTTATTATCCTCTTCCTGCTTAAGTAACTTTTATTAGTAGGAAAGTTTAGAAAATATTTAATTGATCAGAAAGAACATGAAATTGTAGGTAAGGTTTGAAGGCAGGAATATATCTGAGTTGTTCGGAGCCAATGAGTAGGATCTGTTTAATAGAGCAGTGATTTGTTTCTGTGCCTGTATGTAAGTAGATTGACATGCTTACATTTTTTAAAAACATTAACCCACCAAACAAGCAGAGTAAAATAAAATAGTGTGGTAAAGAGAAAAATGAATAAACCACAATTTTTGAAAGTAGGAATGAAGATAACAGTGAGGTTCTAAATACTCTGAAGGAAGAACTGACAGGACTTGAGTGGCAATGGAAGAGACAGAAGTCATGCATAATTGTATTATATATTCTATTCGCAAAAATGTTGGAAAGTATACAAACTTCCTTTAGAAACGTCTTAAAGTTAGGAATAAAAAAATATGAAAGTGATTTGATTTTAACAGAATTGATAATTTTAGAATTTAGGGAATATGTTGTACTTGTTATACGCTTATGTATAATTCAATTTATTTAGTCATTTGTGTATGTTTCATATCTTCAATTTTGAGCAGTAGTTTCATTTTTATTCACATCTGTATTCCCTCAGTGGATCTGTGTGTATGCCATGCATATAGCATAATTCAGTATTTGTTAAATATTTATTTAAAAATCAACTAAATTAATGCTTTAATTTTTGAATATCATTTAAAGATTTCTAAAGAAAAGAGTAAGGGGTCAATTTTAGTAACTTTGTTAGTTGCAATTGTTAAATTACTACCAGCGCGGGGTGCCTGGGTGGCTCAGTCAGTTAAGTGTCCGGCTTCAGCTCAGGTCATTATCTCATTGTATGTGGGTTCGAGCCCCGCATCGGGCTCTGTGCTGACAGCTCAGAGCCTGGAGCCTGTTTCAGATTATGTGTCTCCCTCTCTCTGACCCTCCGCTGCTCACGTTCTCTCTCTCTCTCTCAGAAATAAATAAAAGATTAAAAAAAAAAATAACTACCAACGCTGTTTTGACCTTTGATATTTTGAATTGCAGATTTGAAGGAAGTAGTAAAATTCAGTATCGTATGGAGCAACAGCAGCAGCAAATGCGGAATTCAGCTAGGACTCCCAATCTTGTAAAACATTCTCCATGTGAAGACAAAATGTCCCCAGCATCTCCGATGGATGATATTGAAAGAGGTAAAATCTAAGTGTGTAAATAATTCCCCTTATAAAAAATTATTAAGAAATGTTAGGTGAAATTTTTTATTTTAATTAACAAAGGAGCTGATATTAATTTTTTTTTAATGTTTATTTATTTTTGGAAGAGAGAGACAGAGACAGTATGTGAGCAGGGAAGGGACAGAAAGAGAGGGAGAACACAGAATCTGAAGCAGGCTCTGAGGTGTCAGTACAGAGCCCGATGCAGGGCTTGAACCCATGAACTGCAAGATCATGACCTGAGTCCAAATTGGACGTTTAACTGAACGAGCCACCCAGGGGCCCTAACAAAGGAACTGATTTTAAACTGTCATTGAGAGCATATTGTATTCTGTAATTATTGATTTTTATGGGGAAAGACTGTAGTTTATGATTTAGGGTATTATTTCAGTAAAACTATATCTGTAGAACAGAATTTGTATCTTGTATTATTATTCAGGGGAAAAAAGTGACTGTTTATATGTCTATAACTACAGTTTCTTTTTTATAGTTGTGATGACTTAAATTTTTACAGTTGTGAATTCCTAACAGCATCTTTCTGTCAAAAAGTTTTTTGTTTATAGCTAGACTGTGAGTATCTAAGATGTCACCAGACCAATAGGGAAGTAAGGAGATGTAATAACATGTAGTGAGTAAGTTCTTCTGAATTGCTGCTCACTTCTCAGCAGAAAGGTGTTTCTAGGGAGGCATAGACCTTTTGAAAGGAAGGAAACTGAAATCTCCATTTTTTCTAGCTTCATGCTGGGTGTCTTTAGTATAGTAATTGTGGTAGGAGTAAAACTCTAGTCATCTGTTTATAACGTACATTCATTCTTACACTCTTCCTTCATAATTTATATGTAGCTCTCCAATTCCACTTGCTCCATTCTAGGCTCACTATAGTATTAGTTCCCCCACATATTAGTGTCCTTTTTACAAACACTTAATATATACACTTAAAACCCTTATTTTTACAAGGGATCTAGAATCTTAGTTTATTATTATATCATATCTGCTTCCAAAATGGATTTGAATTATGATGACATTCTATTCATGTATATAATAAAATACTGGAATAGAAAATCAAGATATTAAAGGGCAAGATTTGCTAATTATTTAAAATTATTTAAAGACTTACTAATTATTAATATGTTAAATTTATATCTGAGCTTCCTGGACACTCAGACAAAAATGAAGACCTAAATAGCATATTTTGGGGGCGTCTGGGTGGCTCAGTTGGTTAAGTGTCCAACTTTGGCTCAGGTCATGATCTCACAGTTCGTGGGTTCGAGCCCCGTGTCGGCCTCTGTGCTGACAGCCAGCTCAGAGCCTGGAGCCTGTTTCAGATTCTGTATCTCCCTCTCTCTCTGACCCTCCCTTGCTCATGCTGTCTCTCTCTCACATACTAAGAAGTAAAACATTTAATAAATAAATAAATAACGTATTTTGTATTATCTAAGGGACAGATTCCAAAGAATCAGACTCTTCCTTGCTATTCTATTCTATAAGGAATTAATCATATGGAACTTATTCTAGAGAGCATTAAATTGTATAGTGTCTTCAACAATAATTTTACAGCGCATCAAAAAGAATGAAATCTTGCCATTTGCAATGATGTGGATGTAACTAGAGGGTATTATACTAAGAGAAATAAGTCAGGGACAGACAAATACCATATAATTTCACTCATATGTGGAATTTAAGAAACAAAACAGATGAACATAGGGAAAGGGAAGGAAAAATAAAATAAAATAAAAACAGAGAGGGAAGCAAACCCTCAAGGACTGTTAACTATAGAGAACAAACTGAGGGTTGCTGGAGGAGCGGTGGGTGGGAAGATGGGCATTAAGGAGGGCACTTGTTGTCATGAAGACTGGGTATTATATGTAGGTGATGAATCACTAAATTCTACTCCTGAAACCAACACTACGCTTTATGTTAACTAACTTGAATTTTTAAAAAATCTTGGAAGAACAAGCAATAATTTTACAGCGCAAGAAGGAATCCTTCTTAATAAAAACGTTGTATTCTAGAGGCTAAGTTATCATCGTCTTATAAGGTCTAATGATCCCAAGGTCTAATTTTATATAAGAAATTACCTTGAAATGTTTGTATAGCATGCTCCCTAGACTGTCTTCTTTTAACTATTTGCTTGACCCTTCTATGCCAATGTCTACTGCTATGGTAAATCACCTTTTCAAATTTATGAGTAGAGATGTCTGGCAGTTGTACTAGTGTTTCTGTGGTTTAATTTATATTCACATCTTTGAGCTGTCTGGGGTTTTTGTTTAAGAAATAAGATGAGGGGCACCAGTGTAGCTTAGTCAGTTAAGCATCTGAGTTTGGCTCATGTCATGATCTCGTAGTCCATGAGTTCGAGCCCCATGTCGTGCTCTGTGCTGACAGCTCAGAGCCTGAAGCCTGCTTGGATTTTGTGTGGGTGTGTCTCTCTCTCTCTGCCCCTCCCCCACTTGTGCCCGTGCTGTCTCTCTCTAAATAAATAAATAAACAAACATTAAAAAAAAAAGAAATATGATGAGAATCCAAATTTCTCTCCTCCCCAACAGTATAGATGAATAGGTATTAACAGAATTAATAAATATGATATTGCTATCCATTTAATGGTATCAATTGATATCCATTGATATAAATTTATTTGTATCAAATGATATAAAGACATTTCTTCTGATATGAAAACCATTTTTTTTCAATTTTTTGTTCAGATTTGAGTTAGTCAAAACATATAGTGTAATATTAGTTTTAAGTGTAGAATTCAGTGATTCATCACTTACATAACAACACCCAGTACTCATCACAAGTGCCCTCCTTAACTTCACACATTTAACCCATCTGCCAGCCCATCTCCTCTCCAACGACCCTCAATTTGTTCTCTAAGGTTAAGAGTATGTTTCTTGGTTTGCCTCTCTCTTTCCCCCATACTGATCTGTTTTGTTTCTTAAATTCCACATGAGTGAAATCATAGGGTATTTGTCTTTCTCTGACACTTTTGCTTAGCATAATACTCTCTAGCTCCATCCATGTCATTGCAAATGGCAAAATTTGATTCTTTTTATGGCTGGGTAATATTACATTATATATATGTTATGCCGAGAGACACAGAGACCAGCTGAGACCACTGAAGCCAAATTAAGGGAGTCTTTATTACCGGCCGGGACCACACAGAGTTAACACAGAACTCTAAATGTGCGGCCCTGAGTCCAAGGACTTAAGGCTTTTTATAATGAGCAAGCAGACAAGTGGGCAGTACAGAATCAGAATTGAGTGGTTATTGTAAAAAGGCTACAAAGTGATAAAGAGGGCAGCCCTTATCCTGGTATGTAGGAAAACATTGTTATTTTGAAGGCATGGCTTAGGGTTTTCGAGAGTTTCAAGGGAATAGCCATTATCTCAAGGACAAAGTATGCAAACTGTGTCATAAATAACCATTAATAGGGAACATTAACCCTTGTCTTCTTATTTGTTTTTTTTTTCTTTACATCTGAGGATAGTCACATAGCCCTCTGAGTGCAGGCCCAGAAGGTAAACTGTGGGTCAAGATGGAAGGACTGAGGCTAAATTCATGTGCAATATATATATAATATATATAATATTATGTATTTTATTATATATAATAATTTATTTTTATTATATATTTATTATATTTTATTTTTTTATGTATTTTATATTTTTATTTTTATTTTTAAATTTTTATTTATTTTTTATGTATTTTAAAATATTTTAATTATATATATTATTATTATATATATATATACATACACGTCTTCTTTAGCCATTCATCAGTCATTGGACATTTGGGCTTTTTCCATAATTAGGCTATTATTGATAATGCTGCTATAAATATCAGGATTCATATGTCCCTTCAAATCACTATTTTTGTATCCTTTGGATATATACCTAGTAGTACAATAGGTAGGTCATAGAGTAGTTCTCTTTTTAACTTTTTGAAGAACCTCCATGCTTTTTTCTAGAGTGGCTGCACCAGTTTGCATTCCTACCAACAGTATAAGAGGATTCTCCTGTCTCTGTCTCCTCACCAACATCTGTTGTTTTCTGTGTTTTAATTTTAGCTATTCTGACAGGTGTTAGGTGATATCTCTTTGTTGTTGTGATTTGTATTTCCCTGATGATGAGTGATATAGAGTATCTTTTCATGTGTCTATTAGCCATTTGTATGTCTAATTTGAAAAAAGCCATTTTTATCACATGCAGAATTTCAATATGGATTTAAGTCTCTTTTACAACCTAAGTTATGCAATGGACAATGAATACGTGCAAAATTGATCAGACTCACTTGCGCTTTCACAATGTAAATTTTTAAATTAAGGAATATTTTTTCACTCATGTAGCTAAAACATTTGTCAACATCCATTGCCAGATGAGGAGAGAAAGAGAATTAAGTAGGTAACTACTGACATCTTTGGAGTCAGACTACTGGCGTTCAAATCCTGGCACCATCACTTAGCAGCTGCATAACCTGGGGAAATTTACTTAACCTCTTATTCTCTTTGTGTATGTTTCCTCATTTGTAAAATAGAGGTATGTATCAGGGTTGTTGAGAGGATTAAATGCAGAAATACCTATAATAGGCCTAAAGCAGGCACTACGAACTGTTAAAATATTAGCTATTATTTTAACTCTCTTTTTCTTGTTTTCTTTGTTTATTCTTTCATTAATGTCTGCTCTTGAAAAATAATTATTTCTTTCATTTTGAGTTTGCTCTGTTATTCATATAATTGGATGGTAAGCTTATCTATATTGAATATACTTTTTGTATGCATTTAATAGTATAACTATATCTCTGAGTATCTCTTTAACTGCATCAGTAAATGAGTAGCATTTCCACTGTAGGTAAATTCAAAATATCTGTATAACTTCAACTCTCTACCCCATATCATCCTAAAGTTCTTCTGTCTCATCCAAAGACATCCCAAAGCTAGGTGGCACTGACAAGGGGAATTCTGCCACACAAACACCTCACT